CAGCCCGGCCCCCGGTCCCAGCCAGACACCCCCCAGGTCACCGCAGCCCGGCACCCGGTCCCAGCCAGGCAGCTCACTCCCATCCCCTCCCTGCACAGTGGGGCACTGGGGGGCGGGGGTGGAGGGCCCGACGCGGGAGGCATGGGAGGCAGCCCAGCAGCAGAGTGATGGGGGGGTGGAGAGATGCGGGAGGGGTGGAGGGATGCGGGGGGGGGGGGGGCCGGGGGGGGGGGGGGGGGGGGGGGGGGGGAATGGAAAGATGGGGGGGGGACTGCAGCCCCACTGACCTGCGCGCTCCTGCCTCCGGCCCGGCTGCTGCGCCATGGCCGCTCCCCGAGCCGCTGTGCGGACGCGGAGCCGGGGCGGGGGTGTGGGGAGCTGGGGGCGGAGCAGGGTCCCCCCCCCCGCTTGGGGGCGGGGCTCCAGCCAGGCCCCCGCGGAGCTGCTGCAGGGGGAACCCGGGGACAGGACGCTGCGCCCCCCCCCCCCGAACACCCAGCCGGGGCTGAGCCCCCCCGAGCCGAGCCGGGCTGCTCCGCTCCAGCTGGGGGGGCCTTTAACTCTTCGCTGGGCCCTGCCCACGCACATAGGCAGCCCACGCGAGCCCCCGGCGCGGACAGGGCAGGATCGGGGCCCCCGCCCCCTTGTTCGCTCACCCCGGAGAGATGCAACCGCCTCTGGGGTGTGACCAGCTGGCGGGGCCAGGGGAAGGCTGGGGCTGGGGGCTTTGGTCTGGAATGACCAGGAATGGCCGGGAGGGCGGGTCCCTGCCCCCTTAGCTGCTCTGGGGCACTGGGGTCAGACTGGCTGCCAGGGGAGAGCCCCCCTCCGCTGAGCCCCTGCGCTGCCCCCCCCGCACAGCGCCCCCTAGCGCCACCCCGGTGTCATCACGGAATGAGCGGGGAGGCCCCCTACGGAGCCACTCACATTAGCCCAGGGGTGGGCAAACTTTTTGGCCCGAGGGCCACATCGCGGTTGCACAACTGTATGGCGGGCCGGGTAGGAAAGGCTGTGCCTCCCCAAACAGCCTGCCCCCCCACCCCCTATCCAACCCCTTCCACTTCCCGCCCCCTGATTGCCCCCCTCGGAACCCCGGACCCATCCAACACCCCCTTCTCCTTGTCCCCTGACCGCCCCCTATCCAACCCCTCCCACTTCCCACCCCCTCACTGCCCCCCTCAGAACTCCCGACCCATCCAACCCCCCCTGCTCCTTGTCCCCTGACTGCCCCCTCCCAGGACCCCCACCCCCATCCAACTCCCCTGCTCCTTGTCCCCTGACTGCCCCTCCCCTATCCACAACCCTGCCCCCTGACAGCCGCCCTGGGACTCCCACCCCCTATCCAACCGCGCTCTGCTCCTCGTCCCCTGACCGCTGGGCTCCGTGCTGTGGTTTGTTATTGTAGGGTTGCCCCTAGGAGCGCTGGGCTCCGTGCTGTGGTTTGTTATTGTAGGGTTGCCCCAAGGAGCGCTGGGCTCCGTGCTGTGGTTTTTTATTCTAGGGTTGCCCCCAGGGCTGCTGTTGATTACGATGTCGACAATCAAAGGGGGCTGAAACATTTGATAACGATCACATGGCGCTTGCTGATGGACCTAAGAAACCCCCCGTGTGGGGAATGGCCGCGAACTGCTCAGCAGCCCCCAGCACTGAAAGGTCAGTGCCGGCCTGGAACAACCAACTCAGCCCGTCAGCGACGGGGACCACCCGGCCCAGCTCTGCGCTGCTTCCCCCGCACAACGGGCAGTGCCCGCGAGGCCCCTGGCGCATCAGTGACCCGGCCCCACGCCCGCGAGGCACCGAGCAAAGGAACAGCACCCAGAGTGCAGTGAACTGGAGAGAGCCGTGTGCGTCGGCCACTGTCTGCCCTGCAGAGGGCAATGGAGCAGACACACACACACACACACACTCTCTCAATCACACCTGCTTCCTGATCCCCAGCGCCCCTGCTAACCCCCCCCAACTCCCCAGCACCCCACACCGCTCCCCACTGAGCATCTGCTCTGCCAGCCGCGCAGACCTGGGCCTGCTCTTTGAACCACTTCGCCACAGACCGGGCGCTGCTCCGGAGAGGTGGCTGCCAAAGCCGGGCCTGCGGTAAAGAACCTTTGGAGCTCCCGGCTGCCCAGCCGGGCGAGGGCGAGCCCACAGCCAAGCTCACGGGCCTGGAACTTGCTCCCCGCTCTCCGTCCCTGCCAGGACTGGAGGGTGAGGCTCCAGCTCCCCTCAGCAAAGCAGGGTGACCCCCCATGGGCAGGCCATTCAGCACACTTCGCTCTGGCTGCCCCGAGTGAGGTTGGCATCGGCTCGGGTCCCGGCAGGCTCAAAGACGTGTGCCAAGTCTTAAAACATTGTACCAAACTAGCGTCCTTCTGAAAGCCTGATCGTTTTCCAGGCTGCACGGCCGAGTCACTCCCAGCGAGAGCAGGGTGGGACCTCACAACCCCTGACCCCCGGGACAAAGTGGGAATGTTCTTAATGTTTTCTCTGACGACTGTGCCTCAGTTTCCCCATGTGTTACTGGAGTGTCTAGGTGGTGGGTGTCACGGAGTATGGGGGGACTCAGGGCCCTGCACCCCCGGCGTCCTGCGATTCACCATGACTCTCAGCCAGCCAGTAAAGCAGGTTTATTTAGATGACAGGAATACAGTCCAAGACAGGCCTTGCAGGCACAGACAACAGGATACCCCACAGTTAGGTCCATCTTGGGGTCCTTGGGCACCCCAGCCCACCTCCTGGGGTCAGAGCCCTCCCTGCCTTCCAGCCACCTCACCAGCCAGCTTCCCAGACTCTGCCTTCAGCGACCCCTCCCACAGCCTTTGTTCAGTCTCCCGGGCAAAGGTGTCACCTGGTCCCAGCCCCCTCCTGGGTTCTCATGTTACAGGCTCAGGTATTTTCAGTCAGTCTCCCATCCCCCAATGCGGACCATCCCAGCCACACTCCCCTGTCAGCATTCACAGATCACAGTAAGAACAGACCCAGTTCGTCACAGTGGGATAAGGGTGTGTGATTGGTGCAGAGACCCCTAGAGGGCAGGTGTGATGTCAGCTGGCTGCCTGGGCACAGAGAATGGCCGATACTCTTGTGTCCTGGCAACGGATATAAACCTCCTGTGCCCCACGCTGGCTGGGAGTCAGTGCTGGCTGTGGAGTGGGGGTGCAGGGCCCCTGTGGGGGCGGGTGAGGCTGCCCCAGGCGTCCCAGCCCAGTGGACTCACTGCAGGGAGCTCAGGGGGTGAGCGGGGGGGCTGAATGCTCCGAGGTCAGACCCAGGAAGCGCTGAAGCCGAGAAGGCTCCTTGCCCTGCGGAGAGTGGCCCTGCGGGGAGACCCGGCGCCAGAGTCCTGCCTGGCTCCGATCCCAGCGGGGCCAGAGCCCCGAGCCTGGGACTCCGGGGCACCCCCAAACCCGCCGCTTCTGCCCCAGAACTAAAGGAGAATTGCCATTGGTAGGACCCATAGCAGAGCAGTTCCCCTTCTGTCCGGCGGTGGGCAGTCTGCCATGACGCTGATGTTCATGACCGGTTCTAGTCCCCAGTGCAGTAATTAAGGAAGTCTGTGTTGTTAGTTAAGGAGAATGCACCTTACATTGCTGTGGCATCTTCCAAGCCAAATGACCCCCAAACACCTCACTCACCGATTGCTACCTCTCTAACCCGCTGGCATGCAGCCACCTCTGGGGCGGGATGGTGGCGCTGTTAAACAGTGGCCAGCAATGCTCTACGACAGGAAGTGGAGAAGAAGCCAGTTGAAACTGGACGAGCCGATTTGTTAGCCCAAGAGAGGAATCACTAAATGGGAACCTGGTCGGGGCATCAGGGTTCACACCCTGCGCCTTGCAAAAATTGCCAGGGGATCTTCCCTGGGTTCAGGACCTTGTTTTTATCTTGGATCGTTTGAACAGTGGCCTGTCTAGCCACACAGCGCCCTGCAGCATCATGCCCACTGGGCACAGGGGTTAGCACCAACTCAGCTGGGGGGCACCTCTACTGAGTCCCCCACTTCCTTCCTTCAGGAACCCCCTAGCACCACAATGGGGCACTAGGGTCAGCACTGAGGCAGAGGGGTGACTGCTCCCATACTGAGCTCTGCAGCCCACTCCTTGCCACACAGCACCCCCTAGTGCCACCCCGGGGTATTGGGGTCTGCACTGGGGGAGCGCCCCTACTGAGCTCTGCACCCCACTCCCTGAAGCACAGCGCCCCCTAGTGCCACACTGGGGTACTGGCTGTGGGAAGAGCGCAATGGAGCTCCTTGCTGCATGCGGATTTTCCCTCTAGGTCACGCCAGTGCTGCTCAGCTCATGAGATCCGAGTCCCCCCTTGGTGCTGGACATACTGCAGCTGCTGAGGTCCCTGGCGCTGCTCACACTTCTCCCCACTAGCCCCCGTGTCTCGAGAGCACTTACCCAGCGGGAGAGATCCCAGCTCCTGGCGCCCCGTGAGGGTGCCTCCCGCCGCCCGGCTCGCCGGGGGGCCTAGGCCAGGCTCGGGTTGCAATATACCCACGCGCTGCACTCCTCCGGCCTGGTTATGCTACAGCCCTGGGCTGGGACTCGAAGCTGCTCACTGCCCTGCTGGAGAAGAACAGTAAAGCAGGGGCCTGTGCACGCGATAAAACTCCACCTGTGCATTTAGTGCCGCTCACAGCCCCAGGGGGAGACAGGCCCGGTCCGGCTGCAGGGCCTGCCACCCCTCAGCCCACCCCTATGCTGGGGGAGCTCCCTCTAGAGGGGAGAGCCAGGGCTGCCGGTCGGCGGGGGGATTGTGGTGGGCACCAGTTCCTGGGAATTGCACCCAAAACCTCCAGCTTCTTTCTGGATTGGCAGCCCCTGGCAGCTGGAGGGGGAAAGGTTCGCTCAGGCCACCATGGGCCACCCAGTCCTCTCTCCGGTCGCTGCAGTCAGTGGATGGGCAGGGGCTGGTTCTCGGGGGGTCTTTCCCTAGCAGCCAGGCAGTGCTGTGCGAGCTAAGGCGGCCTCCCCTCTTGCCCCCCATCCCACTTCTCACTTCCGCTCATGGGGTTCATGTAGCCCGGGGCGGGCTCTGCCTCCGGGTGAGGGAGTTTGAGCCAAATTAATGGGGAAGGGGGGAGGGGCGGAATCCATTTCCCCACGATAAAAAAGAAAATCTCGCGGTGTTTTTCTGAACAGCTGTGCCATCCAAACGGCAAGGGGATGGGATGTGAATGGTGAAATGGGGCCAGGAAGCCGCCCTGCGAAAGGCACGGGGTCCTTGCCGGGACCCTCCCTATTGCTGGGACTAAGTGATGGCTTGTTCAAAACCTGCTGCCTTTTTATACCTTTCTAAAAAGGAAACACCGCCCCCCCCCAGCCCCGAGGCAATTCCACCTTAAAA